AAATAAATAAATAAATAAATAAATAAATAAATAAATAAATAAATAGAGCTGCCAGGATGCGGTCGGGGGCTGGTCGTTATTTTCACATAACTCCAGTCCTCTATCGGCTCCATTGGCTTCCCATCGAAGTCCAGGCTCAATTCAAGGTGCTGGTTATTACCTATAAAGCCCTAAACAGCTTGGGACCAGGATACCTAAAGGGATGTCTTTTTCCCTATTTGCCCTCCCGCCCCCTAAGATCGGCAGAAGAGGACCTCCTCCAGGAACACTCTTTGAAAGAGGTTAGGAGACAGAGTACTCGAAGGAGAGCTTTCTCTGCGGTGACGCCCTGACTATGGAATGCACTCCCTAGAGAGGTCCGCCTGGTGCCATCATTATATGGTTTTTGGTGCCAGGTAAAGACCTTTTTATTTACCCAATATTTTAATCAATTTTAATTGTATATTTATTTAATTTATTTCAACCATGTCATTTTTATACACAGTTGTGGTGTAGCCAATTTATTTTGTTTAGGATTTATAATATACTGTAAGCCATCCAGAGATGACAGTGATGGACAGCCTATAAATCTCCTAAACGAACAAACAAACAAACAACAAATATAGTTGCTAAAGTGTTAGCTGGGACTTTCCCAAGGCCTAAAACAATAACAGAAAGAAATTCTAACTGTTTGGAAAGATTCAGGTCCCAGCTCTTAGGACTGCAGAGAAGCAAAAGAGCGATAGTTGATAACAGTCATTACAACAGCCAAGACCCAGAAGCATATGAATAAGGAAGCCTGTCTCTGTGTGAGCTCTTCCATGCCCACGTTTGTGTTCTGGGTGGTTTTGTTATTACTGATCTCAGAATTGCTCCTGCTGACACATCTATTACATCTGTGATGCAATAGATCTCTCCTTGTGAGCCGCCTCGAGGCTTCTGCGATGGGTGTGGCATAGAAATGTTATAAATCAATAAATTTGGAACACCACATAAGTAAAAATATACAAGAGAAAAAGTGCTTTCTCTTCACTTCTTCCATTTTAAGGGGAACTGCATCATTTGCAAAACAAGCAGGAACTAAGCTCAAACCACAGTGGAAAGGGTTAGGTAATGTTAAAGAACCCTTTCAGATCAAGGCACAGCCAGGATTAACATGACAAGCAAGTGGCACCGATCATTAGGATAGATACAGACAGACTGGAGCTTTTCCTGTAATATAGAGAGGTCTGGCATGGATAAAACCATAACTGAGAGTTAAAACTCCTATCACAGAAAATGGGGAGTGATCCATTTTCTATGGCAGGAGAAAAATGGTTGGAAAAATGTTTGGTGGAGGGCAGTTAATGGAAACCAGTTAACCATCCAGAAAATATGTGTTGCAGCAATACAATTTTGGAGAATGATAGTGCATACTTCAGGACAGTGCAGAACTACGTGATTAAGAAAAGCTGGCTGTTCTTACATAGCATGAGGAGAGCCAGTGTGGTGTCGTGGTTAAGAGCATGGGACTGGGACTCAGGCAACCTGGGTTCTAGTCCCCACTCAGCCACAGAGCCAACTGGGGGACTTTCGGCCAGTCACAGACTCTCAGCCCAACCTACTTCACAGGGCTGTTGTTGTGGGGATAAGATGGAGGAGAATGATGTAAGCTGCCTTAAGCCCTTTGTAAGAAAAAGGCAGGATATAAATTGATAAATGAATAAAATGAGGGTGCGAGAGGCAGAGGGGAGCTATGTTAATACCAGGAATATAGATATGGGCTGACTCAATTGAAGGTGCTGCTTCCATCAGTGGCAGGTTTGGTGGAGTGTGAGGGAGGACCTTCCCAGTGCCCACTTCCAGTCTCTGAAGCCCCCTGCCAAGGGAGCATACTTTGGGTCTTTCTCTGTGGTCCTTTTGCCATGAAGACATTTTTATTCAAGTCAGCTTTTGGTAACTAAGGTTTTCAAGTAGTTGGCACTGTTTATTTCCATTACTCTTATATTTAAGTGTGCACAGTTATGTCTTGAGATTTTGTTTTTAATCTGTTTATTGTTAACCACACTGAGCATCATTTTTGGCAGAATGCTTAAGTGTGGCAAAGTTGGGACACAATTAAAAAGTGGCAAAGTGCATGTTTGTTAAGTTTTTGGGTTAGTTCACAGAAAAATGGAAGGAGAGATGTCACTGGGATCTTCCACCTCTGAGGTCAAGAAGTCTTCAGCCATGTAGCTTTCCCATATTCCGAGGCAGAAAACTGCAGCTTGTAGTCAGCCTTAAGAAGCTGCAGGAGCTGCTGGTGAAGGCTTCTTCAGTCCTGACCTTTTCCATCACAATTGTTTGTATCTCAACTGAATTAAGAGACAGAATTTCCCTCCCATTGCAGTGAGAAGTTGAAAAGATACCTGCACCTGCCCATGTTATGAAACCACAGAGTCTTTTGGCACCTGATGACTAGCACATTACTTCTGGCTAAAGTGATCTGTAAATTGTCTCTTAAAATTCTCAACCCTTAATAGTTTCTCACAAGTAGGGCTGGTTCATTCTTCAGAGGAAAGTTAACTAGATCAACTGTGTTGGAAGGCTGCCCCCATCTTGCACCCGCCACAATGCAAATATAAAGGTGGGAGCTGTGCTAGGTTGACTTCCAGGGAAGAGAAGGCACCAATGAAGCTAAAATCTGCCCTCTAAAGTCCTGAAAGTTTTCCTCCCCCATGAGAAAAGTTTCCATTTCTTTCTGTGGTGTTAGCTTTCTTACTAACAGCATGTGCTTGAGGAAGCTGTGTTTGTGGTTTCATAGTTGTGCCTGTAACCCCTCAGGCTGTGCTTCCTGGTCTGAAAAAAGTGGGAGGAATTACTTCCACTGAGCTTTGTCTGGAGTGCGGGGAGCTGAGGCAGCCACAGGCTAGCAGAGAAATATGAAAGATAGGATATGCGCACAAGTTCCTCAGCCACCTGCTAACTAAGGTAAGCTCAAGCAAACGCAATGCAGCTCATGAGCATTTATCTGGAATTGTCTCCACCACTGATTTTTTGAAAACATTTTATTTTCTATCAAATTCAATTCAAATTGTTGTTAAAATGTTGGGAAAATACTGGCCTTAGCATTTGTGGTTCCTGTAGTTTCCACTTCATCAACCAGGATCCACCAAAGTTTATGCTAGAAGAAACTTGTTAATCTTTGTCACAAACTCCGTTTTTGCTGCAAGGGCTACCACTCTCAAAAGTGTTTTATGAAATATCTGTGGCCAATCTGGCGATAATCAGTTGGTGAGAGGCATGCTACAATCTTTGGGTTGCATTCCCATGTAGTCCTGTTTTGCATGTTTAGACAAAACCATGTTTAGACAGTACTGCCGGGAGCTGGAGGACCTCTCTTTATAGAAGCACGCATAGGATCATGCGGGTAGAATACCGTTAGGTGATCTGAGTTTATACAGTAGCTCGGTGTTCTTCCCTTATCTAGCCTCATTGGATACTTGCAACAGAATCAACTGGCACAGCTTCTCCTAGACTGCACTATCTCAGTGTGTGCGTACGAGTATTTGAAGTCTCCCTTACCTTAAGGCGTCAACCCCATGCACAAACAACCTACAATTGTTTGTTTGCATAGGATTAGAAATATTCAAATGCTGAAACCTGAGCTGATTTAGTCCAGGACTCTGCCGAGTTTATAAACTGTGCCTTACAGGGTTAGTACTTGTTACTTTGTTTGAAATGGAAGATACCAATGCCATGTACTTATTACAACCGTACTTATTAACACCAGGAAAAATCCACTTGGAAGCTTGATATAAATGAAAGTTATACACAAGTGAGATAGCACTCCTCTGCAGCTCTCACCCATTGAGCTTCCCACTGGACTGCGCCTGTACCAGATGTCTTTACAGGCAATGATATGATATTCCAAATGATATTCCAAATCCACCTATTATGATCAGGTCTGAAAACCCTAGGGCTAATTATCCTTCTTTGTTCTCCAGGCTCTTTCTTGTTTTTTGGAAAAAAAAGATGTCTTCACTCCTAGCTAATAATAGTTTGAACGGATGTGTTGATCCTTTCATTTTAAAACATACCTCCACATTGATCAGCTGCCTGGCTGTCCTTTCCCTCACCTTCCTCCTGGGTCTTCCTGGAAATGGTTTGGTCATCTGGGTAACCACCTTGAAAATGGAGCGAACAGTGAACACTATTTGGTTTCTCAACCTTGCAGTGGCTGATTTTCTGTGCTGCCTGTCCCTGCCTTTTCACATTGGTCATCTGGCCCTCCTTGAGCACTGGCCTTATGGTTGGTTTTTTTGTAAGATTATTCCAGCAACTATTATTTTCAATATGTTTGCCAGTGTCTTCCTTCTCACCATCATCAGTATTGATAGGTGTCTCGTGGTGATGAAACCTGTCTGGTGTCAGAATCATCGAACAGTGAGGCTCACATCCAAGATATGCGGTGGCATCTGGCTCTTAGCCTTCTTTATGTGTTTTCCTGCATTCTTCTTCCGTGAGATCTACGTGGATGAATTTGGAAACACCAGATGCATCAACCGCTATGGTGATGAAGACTATGCAGAGGACAATTGGTCATTTGACTCATTTTACAGCAACAATGTGACTTTTACTCCATATCCTACCTTTATGGTTAATGGAATGTATGATACTTACTCCGAAAGCCAACCACCAAATGCTCTTCTGTCCATTACTGTCACCAGAAGTGTCATTGGTTTCCTTCTTCCTTTAGGAATCATGGTGACCTGCTATGTGCTTATTGCTCACAAGATGCTCAAAAAACAATTTTCTAAGTCCTTCAGGAAGATTCTGCGGATGATTCTGCTTGTGATTGGTACTTTCTTTCTTTGTTGGGCTCCTTACCATGTAATTGGGGTGCTGGACCTCCTGGCTACCCCATGCACAGAATTTCATGAAATGCTGCGTCCATGGGACCATGTTTCCATAGCACTTGCCTATGCCAACAGCTGCATCAACCCACTTGTTTACGTATTTGTGGGGAAAAAATTCAGGGACAGGGCACGCCAAACAGTGCAAAGGATCTTTGAAGAAGCTTTCAGTGAAGAAGGCACGTGTTCCACAGCCTGTTCCCAGGACAGAAGCAAGACTAGTGTTGTCAAGGACACTGATGTTTCTGTACTCTAAAAAGGATCTTCTGGACAACAGAAATTTGGGTACACTTTTCTCAATTTGCTGCAGTAGCATTACATACTAACTCTCTTGCAGATACAGAGAACAGCATGAACCTCTCATGTCAGCTCACTGTATTTCAGATTTGCCAATATTTTGTAGCATTGTGATAGTTACTTATATCTATTTTTTCTTTAAATAAGAGGAATGTGCAACAATGGGAGGGTGGTGCTCAATGGGCATGACTGCAGAATGTTCTACATATGAAGCTAGGGGACCAAACCTAATAGTACCCTAAGAATTTTGTTCAACTGGGACCACTTGGTATGACATGAATTACACACACAGAGAAGAGCAGCTGCACTCGACTTGTATAGCCGAGAGTATCATATAGAGCACTGCTGAGGACTCCATTCAATAGTGTTTTTCTAGTACACAAGCCTTAGGATGTGCCTATCTTAGGTGTTACCCACTTACTGAATGCATTTCCACTGCAAAATTCACCAAGTCCTGAGCATCTTTCAAAAGAGTTTTAAGATATATATATTTATTAGCAGTTTGGGGGCAAAAGTTTGTTGGGAATTGCTGGGGATAGTTTAATAATTAGCATTCCGGGGGTAGGGGTTGCTTTTGTTACCCACCTTGGGCTATTGGGCTAGGACAGGCTATAGATGTGCATTAAACAACTATCTTTATGTTCAATTAAACACTTAATTTGGAGCCTACTTTTCATCCTTTTCACCCCAAATAGAAAACGACTAGTGACACAGAAACCAGAACTTCTAGGCAGGTGCTATTGCTCTAAGGGGCAGGTGACATGATTCCGGCAGGCACCATTGTGCCCTCTGACATATTTCTTGGTGCCCGTCAAGGTTGCCCAGCTCTTCTCACTCTTAAAAAATGAATGACATTTCTGACTGCAAAATGAGGGCCTCCTGTGACTCCCAGCTCATTTCCCATGAATTCCCCTGGGCCACAATGGCATGTGACAGCAGACTGAAGCTTTTCTTCGCAGCACCAAAAGAGCTGGGTTTGGTTTTAGGCCCACCACTGCTTCACTCTTGTCCAGACTAGCCATGCTTCCCAAGGCAGCCATTTTGTGCTGGTGTCCAAGGCAGTTTTTCAAATGTGTTCATGAGCCCAAACAGATTGCCTGCTCTAACCCTGGTCATTTCACTGGCTGTTAAGAGTGGAAAAACAGCTCCTTTGGGAACCAAAAGTACCAGTAGGCATGCTGGGTACCTGAAGCACTTTTCAATTTCTGTCCCCACAGAATAGAAAGGGTGTGTTTTTAAAACACATTTTGGTGTTTTTGTGGGACTCCTCAGCACGCAGCAACAAGTGTTGGAGAGGGCCTTTTTGGCAAACTCCTGAATCAATAATCTCCTGAATATTTTTTTTTTTTTTTTTTGCTTTGGAAGTTTTGCCTTCCCTTATCAATTGAAGGACATGGCACACCCAAGAACAAAATACTAGGTGATCATTAGAGGCAAGCAAGTAGATCACTGGAAGAGGACAAGAAAGGAAATTCTTCCCCCACCAGGAAGACTTTTGGCCTCACCTCTTCCACAAGAAGTATGTGAAGAGAGAGAAGGGCACTTTTCACACTCACTCCTTGTTTGCTCAACTCTTGCTCACGCTGGTTATGCTTCTCTGTAAATTGTATCATATACACTGATAACACCTATATAAATAATAAACAGAGAATTACTATATAAAAAACTGCATCTAGAACCTTGTTTATCAAATAATGTTAACATGGTCTAAGTTTGAAATGATCAAACCTGAAGGACTTCTCACTAGCACTCCTACATGAGCTAGTAGCACAGATAAAGGGTTCATTATAGATTTCATTTTTACCCTTCCCTTAAATAATTCAAGATTGTGTATACCCATTTAGCTACACACCAGTCTTATTATGTAGGTTAGTCTGCAGAATAGTCACAGGCCCAGTGAACTTCATGACTAAGTGGAATCAAACCCAGGTCAACGTTCAATACTACCCACACTGCTCCATTAAACTGCTTTCCTAGAATTTATGTACTTCACTTGCTTGAGAGGCAAGTGGGAATCATCAGTTGAAGTATGCATATGAGGAAACTCTAACACAACCTCTATTAGTGAGCACCCTGGGCTGGGTAAGGTTGAAAGGTCCTCTGCCTGGACTACACAGACAATGGAATGAGGTGACAGAGTTGACATTTGCTATGGGGGTGAGGAGGCATGCATTTTTGAATGCTTTCGTGTTAAAAAAATCCTTGCGAATACAAACAGAATGCACCTGTCTAGTCCCTATTCTCCTTGCAAGATTTAATAGCACTGGCACCACACATCACTTTAGCAGAACATTCAAAGAGACCATTCCTCACTACCTCATTTTATTGCATGTGTAGACCAGGCAAGCCAGCATATTGCTAAGATGCTAAAAGAGAGGATTACACCAAAACTTGCTGATGTTCGCATAGGAAAAAGGAGATAAAAAGTCCTCTGTCTGTCATGGATGAAGTGGTGAAGTGCGTACAAGGATTCTCTTGAATACTATGGACCAGATGAGAAGCTCTGTGGGAGAAAGCAGAGAACCTGAACTATATAATAAGCTAAAATCAGTAGCAAGTTCAGCGATGACACATGCTCCATGAAGTCACTACCTCCAGCCTTTCTCAACTATGCTACTTCCTTTTTCAAAGCTGAACTTACTCAATTCACTGCATATCACAGCAAAAATAAGTTTTGCTGATTTTTCATTCATGACTTCCTTTTAGAGAACAATCTCTGCTTCAGGGTAAATTCAGACAAAGGTAACCAAGGAAACACTTCATTGACTACTTTAAAGGTGTCTTATCACACTGTATCTGAAATACAGTGTGTTTCTTATCACTCTGTATATGAGCAGAGTAGCACTATGCACAAAAAGTTTAACCCAAGACACTGTTGGGTCATGGAGCTCTCAACCATGTCAACACTCTCCTATGATTTCTCACCCAGAAGAATGTCCTCAACAGATACTGTGTGTTGTGCATGGCCCTGGACCTGGGACATGGAAATCTGGATTCACGTTCATATTTTTCTGTGAAGTTTATTGGATGGCTGTGGGCATGTTATTTTCTGAGCCACACTTTGCTGCTATGAAAATGTGGTAGCCCCAAATATGCTGTCTGAGTTGTAGACCAGAAGAATAAAAGCAGGGAAAACAAACAAAAGGGAATATGGAAACCTGAAATGTGGCACCAGTGCTCTGCATTATAATGTCTGGAGAGGCTGTTGCCATGTTTGCTGCATAAGGCACACATCCACATCAGTGAATATCTGAAAAAAATAAATTATATTTGAGATGATCTAGTAGGGTTCCATTGAAGTTCAAAATTAATTTGTATATAGTCTATTCCACAATTTCCTATTGATCTGCCTAATTTATTCTGGTTTTGCTAATCATGGGAAGGGACACTTACATCCCATCTCCAGTCACTGTAAGTTTTTTGTTTTCTGTATGTTGAAATCTCAACCCACCATTTCAAGCATATATTTGCAGATCATAACAGACAGAAATGTCAAAAAAGAAAAAAGGAAGCTAAGATTTTCAGGAAGCTGATTCTACATTTTGTCTACTACTGTAGAATTCCAGTACATACATAGAACCCTGCATATAGGGCTATCTTTGGGCTCAAACTAGAACAGTGATAGTAAATGTGCGGTGGTACAAATTCAAAGCATAATATAGACAAAAACAAAAATGTATCTCCCAATTATTTAAGTCAAACATTTTACCCAGCAAGCTGCCACAAACAAAACAGGGTCACCAAAAGGGTTAAACCATAAACATTCACTTTTTTTAATTAAGAAAGCATGCACAAAAATAAATTTGTGAGGCCACAACCCTCTCCCATCTTCTTGACATAAAGCATTGTGGGTTGCACTGCAGCGGGTGGGCAGGCGAGGGATTCCTCTGCTTGACAGGCAGGCAGGCTGGCCGGCCAGCCCTCTGTGCTGACCCTTTTTCCTGGATAGGCTGCGTCAGCTGCTCACAGTGCAGAATTCCAGTGCTGAGTCTATGACTCCAAGTGTCCAATCCAATACTAACCCCACTCAAGAACAATGCAGTTAATTCAGAGGCAAAGGGAGGATGAGGCTAATTTGTACACCGACTGGCTTATATTTACATATGCAAACAAGGCGCAACTGACTATGTGAATGAAGAGCCTTTAAATACCTAAAGGAGTGATCTTTTCTCCCCCCCACCCCCCCTCCACATTCTCTGAAAGGCTAAGTGAACCTTCTGTGGATGTTCTTCTCAGAAACAGCACTGATCGGCATCTGAAGGGGACATTATCTCCACATCATTTTCCCCAGACTCTCAACAAGGGCCTCCTGGTCACATCATTCTTATCTTTGGATGGCACAGATACCCATTAAAACTCCTCCATGAATTCGGCTCAGGGATTCTCCACTCCCCTCAGAACGCACAGTGATGACCCCCTTTCCCCCACAACCAAAAAATCCCTCCCTCCAAACTTCAATGAAACAGCGAGTTAAAGCAACGCTACAGAAACTTCCCACCCCTGGCACAACATATTCCCATGATGTTTTTGCTTCCAACTTGGTCCCCCCCCCCCCCGCCCCACACACACACACACAAAGCAGGCTTGCAGTTGGAAGGGCATGCAGATTAACAAGAGGTCTGGCAAAAGAGATTCACACTAGAAACTGAAAACAAAGCAGTGAGGAGGGGCTACCCAGCCATTTCCAGCTCAAAATCCAATCTTGTGTTGGCACTAGTGCTCTTCCTTGTGTTCTATGGACTGCCATACAACTAAACGTCTGCCCTTTCTGATCCCACTTCAGTTTGGAAGGACCCTTGCAACTTCCCTTCCAACTATACACTTCCAAGATTCCCTCCATAGACGGTCTGCAGCAAGGTGCCATTTATCTCAGTGGGAGTTTTAAACCTGCACCCACCAAATTCTGTTCTTCCTTCCAACTTAGTTCATCCACAAAACAGGAAGCATCAATTGCTCATTTATATAAGGCAGAGAAGACACCTTTGACTTCCACTCTTGCATTACAAGCCACAACACTTTCCAGAGAAATGAGGGGAAGGAAAATTCAGAAGTTTAAAAAAAAAACTCACATAAGGGAGAGGAATACTTCTTGATTTGCATGTCTTATCTGCATATTCAAATAAGAACCTGCTGCATTATGAGAGAAGGCAACAGGGAAAAAACGCTGATGTGACAAGCCCTGAGGAATCTGGTTTGATCTTGGTACCCGACCCACATGATGCAGATACAAGCCAGACCTGTCAAGCTTTCTTCATCTGCAAAGGGGGGCAAGTGCAAAATGGCAGTGATTGAAAAAGGCAGTGTAGAAAAAAAAGTAAAGGCCCCCTTTGTCTTTCCCAGACGCTCAGTCCCTACCAGCAGCAGACTCATAACCACAATGCTACAACTAGAAAGAAGGCCTTGCTTTCCACAGCAGGCCTCTCTCTGTCAAACCCAAATTCTAGCTCTATTCCACATTCAAAAGCCTCCCATTCTCTGCAATTATTCCTTTCCTTCTCATGCTGCCCTTGCTGGTATGAGAAAGTTTGCAGATCTTCCTTCAATACCAGTCTAAGCCCTCCATCCCCCCCACCCTTTACAACATTTAAGAAAGAACATAATTATTACAGACTCTTAAGATCCACAGGGCTCTCTCACTCTTGCAGCCCATAAAACAGAGTCACTGGCCACCTTGACGGGAAAGAGGGATTGTTAAACGCAAGTGATGGAGGAAGAGAAAGAAGCTTGCAAGAATTCCTACTTCCGAGGTCTTCTCACAGCAATCAAAAATAGTTTTCTTACCCTCCATTCCACACAAGGTGCCAGTAAATACATATAATCCAAAGCTGGTAGATGGAGCAGAAGGGCTGTGTACAATTATTGATGATAGTAATAATAATAATAATAATAATAATAATAATAATAATAATGAAGAAAATAAGGTAAAACAGGGAGCGCAAGAAAGGATTATCTTCGGCAGCATCTTGCGGCAGCTTCTCTGGCGGAAGTAGAGAATATATATCTATATACAGGCAAGGAAAGAGGCCGAGGGTGCTAGGCATGTGACCTGAACCCTAGGTCTCCCTTCCCATACCCTACATGAGGGATGTGCTATCAAGTCTGTAGCTTGCTAGGTGATCAAATCCCAGTTGAAATCATCAGGGATTTCCTCATTGGCACCTGGAGGTGGCCGTGGAACCAGATGATGACCTGAATACATTGGAGAAAGGAAGGAAACAAGAAATAAGGAGTGCATTACATTGAATTCTTGATAATAATTTCAATTACTGTATATCATTAAGTTTCAGTTTACAGTCTAGTTAGGTAACATTTTTCCCTCCCTAAACATATCATATTCAAGCCTGGAAATGAACATTTTGCTCCAAAAATACTGTTAATAAAGCATATAACTCATCATTACGAACCTAAAAAACTATATACTATTTTGTGATTGAACACATTATAGAGAATGCTACTCAACTTTGCATTCATGAAAAATAGTAAATTAATATGGAACGTGCCAAATTCCCAGCATCCCTTGGCATCAGAACATGAGCAAGAGAAGAGGTAGAAACTTGCAAAGGAGAGGAGAGGGCTCCAGGGCACATGCCTTATGGAGACAAGTTGAAATAAAAGATCGTTCTTGCACTTGTTCTTTTCCCTGGAATTGCTATCCTTTGTTCCCTCCCGCTATACAGCATAACCATAGGACACTGTCATTAACCTATTTTTCTTGAGGTAGGAGGAGGGTTTTTTTAATGTAAAATATTTAATGCAACTTTATCATGCTTTTATTGTTGTTTTATTTTTATAGTATATTGTATTTGCTAACTGTTGTTCACTGCCCAGACAGCTTCAGTATTGGGGAATATACAAATAAAATTAATAACAAGATCATAATCAACAACAACTCTATGTCATTTTCAAAGACTTAATTTTTGGCTATTTTTCTAATTTTTAATGCAAAACAGTTCTGCTTTTAACATAGCCCCAAATTCCTATTCACATAACATCACAGGAGAATCACAGTTAAAAAAAACATGAAAATTATAAAATATGCAAAATGTAGCCAAGAAGGGAGGCAATTCATACGCTAAACTTTGCAGCCACTGCCTCTTCATAGGATGGACCTGATTATCTGCCAAGTGCTGCTGAAAGAGCTGCACCCTGGAAGGATGGAGGAGGAACAGAGAGGTGTAAATAGATTCTTTCAGATTCAGATCCAGAGGATCTTTCCTAGGTAGACGAGTCCTCTGAAATTTGAGTTACTTTGAACTTCTGAACTATCTTGTGCTATATCATCTCCTCTCCATAGACTCTGAGTACTTTACAAAAACAGCACTCTGAAGTCCAGTTGATTCAAGATTTCAGTGCTGGTTGCTGGCAAACAACTGCTGCCCTAAGCATTCTAGAGCAGGCAGCTTGTGGCCCTCCACGTTTTGGCCTGCAGCTCCCATAATCCCTCACTAATGACTATGCTGACTAGAGCTGATGGGAGCCATAGGTCAAAAGTTCTGGAGGGTTGTACATTGCCCAGCCCTGTTCTAGCAAGTAAGGATGTTTCCAGATGAGAGGTCTTCACATTAACAATCAGATGGTATTGTGCAA